CGCCGGCTTGACGGCGTGCCTCCTGGGGAGGCAGCTGCCGAAGGATACCGTCCGATGCTCCCGTTGGGGGAGCGCTCAACTCTCCGTTGAACAGCGAGACTGCGCCATCAGGGACGCCGTTGCCTCGGCACTCTTTTACGAGGCCATCCACACGAACAAGGACCCGATCACGTCCGTGCCTTCTTCACCGTTCGACCCGGCTGTCGGCTTGAAGGTGAGCGCCTACGCATTGTGGTATCGGCCGTACTTTGATGTGGACCGACAACAACAGATCATGGCAGGTTCCAAATTTGTGCTGAAACCCAAGCAACAACGCTTGCCCTCGTTCTTTTGCCCTCTGCGCGTACTACAGGTGCGCCTCTACAACGCCAGCCATTCCGCCTGCGTGGCGGTAGGTCACGTGGTGTCCGACGCCACCGCGGAGACCGCCCTTCGTCACTGGCAAAGTTCTGCCAAGCTACAAGGTCTTTCCGGGAGCAGGCAGCTGGCATGGCGTGGCTGTAGGGGGCTCCGGGGCAGGAAATGACCCGGTAGAGGGGTCGCCGATCTTGGCTGGGCCTGGGGCGGGGGCGGCGGGGGCGGCGCGGACGGCGTTGCCGCAGTTCAGGGCCTGCACCGAATGCGGACACCACAAGGGTGCATACCCTGCTGAACACCCTGGGAATCGCCGTGGACATAAGGCAATAGGTTCAGCGCCCCAGCCCGACGTTGAACCGGCGAAAAAATGTTTAGTGGACCAGAGCTTGCGGCGTCCAGAGTCGTACAAAGTCTGGAACCCTAAGCAAAGAAAGAGGACGTTTCTGCCCTGCCCGTGTGATGTATGCAAGGGCTCATACGCACACGTGGAGGATGGTGGTAGTTAGCCTGTGCTGCCGGGTCGAGGCGAGCTGGACACATGAAAAAAAAAGTAAATATTTGCCTACCGGTTCGAAAGGCCGTTCGGTCAGTTAAGAGTGCACTAGTTGTACGGCAGTCGCCCAGAATTCCATTTGGAAAAGGAAATTAACAAACGGCCCATGATTGAGACATGAGATACACCACGGCTGCCCAGGCGATGTGTGCGTGCGTGTGTGTGTGTGTGTGTGTATTCATTATTAGAATCGATCGCGCTAACCGACTGACCAATTAAAAGACGTCAGTGCCAGCGGGAAAGAATGTGTGTGTTTTTCCGGCACCATCTGCCGTCTTTCAACAATAATATTAAGTTGGATGGAATGCTAGACGTGCCTGGGAATGCAGTGCAAGAAACCGTTTCGAAATCGGCTCACATTTCAAGGACATATGCCCAAAACAGTGGATCGGGGGGAGTGGAAAAAACAGCCAAAAAACAGCCCGACCGGGAAAGCGCCTCTTCATTTTTTTTCGCGCTTCGCGCGAAAATTTCTATAATACGTCCCCGCCTAGCCCTACCTATGGGCCCTGAGCCGGCAAAAATGTGCCAACATGTGCTTGTATTTCTGATGCTCTTTTTCTGTCCCCTGCATGCACACCAAAGCCACACATTAGCAAATTCCCCCAATCTCTTCATACACAACAGAAATACCAGATATGCTGTGAGGTGTTTGCACGTGAGCGCTCTCCGCGCGTGCATCGGAGATGGAGAGATTTGCCGGATACTGCAAAAAAATAAGGCGGAGTTCTGCAGGAGCTCACGCGAAGGCGGCCTGGAACGGTTGGTGAGGCGTGTGTGCTCTGGCTGCACCCAGAGGACACCACACGAAGTCACGGTGTGCATGACGTCGCAGACCACCCGACTGCCCCAACTTCTTGCAAATTACGTAGTACTACAGTAGAGCAGGCTCAAAACACATTGCGCTGACGACGAACCTCACACGTGCTGCTGTGTAGACTACGTTGTCTACATCACCAGCAGTGGCGCCACGCTCCTACCGACATCGCCTGTGCATGTATCGCGCTGTGCTGGTGTCTTGTTGGCTCTGCTTCACGTGACATTTCACGTTTCATCGCCCACCCCACACAGTAGCAGGGGTTCCCTAATTTACAACGAACAGTCTCGAATACGACTAACCAGGCGTACCCTCGCGGAGGACCTTCACTGAAGTATTATATTGTTGCCATTTCTAACAGCTAGGCTAGAAAATGGTGCGGTGACTTTGCCAACCTGCCGCTCATACACCAATGAAAACCGCAGCTTCGCACGCTTCAATATCAAAAATTGCCCGTGAGACTACACCAGGCACAACACGAATTTACGTTGGGTGGAGTCGACTGGATGCCGTTCCAAGTCCGAGTCCGTACACACCGAGGGACGGGGAAACGAGGTCTACCGCATTCACCACAAAAAAAAAACTATCACGAGAGTGTGTGCGAGCCGCCATTCGAGCACAATCACAAGGATGACGAAGAGACTCCCGCAGCTCCCTTGAGTTCAAGTCTGCTCGCTTCCATGGGAGGGCACGCCTTCATCTTCTTGCGAGCCAAGTCAAACTGCTCTTGGTCGAAGTCGAAGGTCGTGCTCATCATCTTCGGGGGAAGCCCCCCGCGGATGTCCGGTGTGAGGCCTCTCCCCTGATGGCGTGTTAGAGCCAAAGAGCACGGAAACGCACGGGGGCGGGAAGAGCACCGTCACGGGGGGTGGGACTCACAACCACACCTGGACGTGGTCTTTCAGGCACAGACCCTCATCTTCCTTGTGGCCGGACTAATCTGGGACACGACACGTTGAGTTCCCCCCCCCAGGCTGCCAGTCGCACCCAATTCGACGTCAAGCGCGCCGTACGTAGGGTTACCTCTACACCAAAATCGCTCGTGAGGCGGACTTTGCATGAGCACTGCTGTACTTTCTGCCGTGGATCTGATTATGCGCCTTCCGCGGAGTGAAGGAAGGAGAGTGGGGGGGGG